GGAGAAATCTACCCAGTAAAGCTGTTAGAAGAGGACTTATGAGTCAGGTCAAGTGGAGATCAGTTTCATTTTACAGATATGAGAAGGCAGTACAGGTCCTGAACATCTCAGTGAACTTGTGTCTATAAAACTTTATGTGACTAGCAGTATAGTACCAAGATCAAGATGACTCCAGATTCCTGTAGTTCTAATACAGTGATTAACATCCTGTGCACAAGGTACCAACTAAACCCAATGGGATATGCTGATCCCAGAAAAATCACCAAATTACACAGTCTCCTCTAACATTGAACATGGAATCATTAGAATAAAGAGAATGCCAACTGAAAGAGGTTCAACACCAGTTACTTGGTGAGACATGAGGAGAAAGTTTTCAGCTTTGTTGTAGATAACTTTGTAGTCTTCAGATATTTTACTTTTGACATTTTCATGCATTGGAGGATTTTGCACCACTTTGTTCAGTGTTTCCTAATGTTTCAGTGGGATGAGTGCATCACTTGGGGCTTTTACTCTGCACAGAATTTGGCTGAAGCATTACCCCCTCTTGAAACCTTTCCCAGTATGGAGCAAAGTTTTCCAGGTTTTATGTTCGTTTTGTAAACTGAAGTGATTGAGTGACACAAAATGTGAAAACTTCAAAGGTTTTTGAGTTTGAATATTCTGCACAGCTGTTATTTAGCATGGAATATGGATTTTACTTGTGAGATACTTGGTGTTGTATTGCAAAACTGCATTATGTGAAGTCCTCTGCCTTCAAATTGATGAAAGCAATCAGTGCTTACTTCCATGAGTAACACCATCTGTTTGCATAAGACACTCTTAGGGAAAAGATTAAGAAAAAAAGAAAACAAAGAGCTGTACTCTGCTGGAAAACTTTGCTATTTTATATTGAAACTCTGACCACCCAGTTTACATTTCTTTCTGTAGGTATAAATGCACATATACTTTGTTATTAATTTACATTCATTAGAAGGAATGTGGCCAAGTGGAAAGAGCTCTGGCTGGACTTAAAAAGTATTTAATATTTTCTTATCTCTGTCAATTTCCCCTGGCTGACATTGAAAAAGTATTGACCTCAAACATATGACTGTTCTTTGTCCATGTGTGAAATGGCAGAATGCAACAGGGCTGTTTGGAGAGTGCTTTGAGACTTTATGGAAAAAACAGTAAGACGTGAGTAATGTTACTAAGGATAGAAAGAAAGGGTAGTTTTAGAAAATTTGTACTTATAAATCTGCTTGTGACTGTGTAAAAAAACAGGACTCCAATCCTACATCTGGTTCTCTGTCTGAGATCTATTCCTGGTCCAATTCTTCTACTGGCCAGCCTTTGGTTGTTGATGGTTTAATCAGCAAGGAAGAGGTTAATGGTACTGGGTCAGTAAAAAATAGGAAAACATTACCAAAAATCAGCCCTGGAAGGAAACAAGACCAGCACAAACAGCATTAAACGGGGAATCATCCTAACTGGGTCCATTCCTACCATTTATGAATTGAGTAATGCTGGGGTCACAAAACTGAATGACAAATTACTTCCTTTCTCACTGCCTTAGTTTCCCCAGTTGCAGTTGTACTTAACTGTACTTTGGGAATTTACATGAATGTTTCAGCTATTATAGTTTTATGTGCATCAGGAGAAGGAGAGGATCTACAAGAGAGGAGTGTGGGAGGAGAGAAAAATGCACTTAAGTAACAGTCTAAAAGGAGGACTGAGGTACAGTTGTTAAACATCTTAGACTTGGTGAGACTTTTCCACAGTTAATCTGTGGAGGGAAAGAGAGCAAGTATCATTCCTCCAAGCTAAGATGTAATGCTGGACTGCATCAGAACTGGCCTATTCCCACTTCTGAGTGGCTTCGGGGGCAAGGGATCCAAGAGAATGTATATCATTGTATGTGTTATTATCTATCCCCAGAGACGTATTTGAGGGCATGGATGGATTTCAAGGGCTGTTACTCCTAAAAGTAAAGTTCCATTTTGGTGTTGCCTTGATTCATGTTTATCCCATGAGACTGTCCATGACAGACATCCTTTATCTGTGCTGTGCTGGGACAGGTGGCTTCTTTGCCTTGCAAACACAGCTGATGTTCCCACATACCCCAGGGAATAAGGGCATTATGGAGATGGGCTTTAACTGAATTGTCTGTTTCTCAAAGGCCAATTTTTCTTTTATTTTTTTCCTATTGTTCTTTTTGGCAAGAGTTGCTTTCTTCTTTACTTTTGGAAGGCATCTGTACAGACTTACTGAAAAAAACTCCCTCAGAGGACAACACCCTCCTCTTTGGTTTGACTTTATTTGCAATAACCTAAAGGGCTGCTCAAGCACACTGCCCATGTTTAGCCTTAAACCCTTTGTCACCAGAAGTTTTTTTTTTTTTTCTTCCACATATTCTGAGTCAGTCAAACCTAATTACCCTTTAATCAGTAAAATCAACACCTGCTAACAGGGTGGGCTCTTTTCAGCAAATAGTGCTTCCTTTTTCCAGAGGCTGATAGATTTCCAGGGGTCCTATTGTTTCTTTGTCTTGCTCATAAGGAGCTCTGACTGATAATCTGGTAATGGGTATGGTTATCTCATGCCTGTAAGACAGCACTGGTGAATCTTCCTTTTGGCAAGGGCAGCAGAACTAGGTGAGACAAGAATTATACATAGATGCCAGGAGTCAAATCTCCTGGTATTTTCTCTTTAAAACTTAGGTCAGTCCTGGAAAAAATATAGGTCAGAGAGGTTTGGCAGGAGAGATTAAAGTATCAGGTGAAATAAAGAGCAAGGCAGCCTGTAGAAGTTCCTTGTTTTTTTTATCTTAAGCAGCCCTTTGCAAAAAAAGTAAGGGGGCAGAATTGTCTGCAGAGAAAAGGGACTGGGGCTGGATTGTACAGAGCCTCTTGGACCTCAGGCTATGTCTGTGCTGTTAGGGCAGCCCAGAGTCACCACTGTCCTTGAGGAGACTCATCTGCAGCTTCACTGGAGACCCTCAGGGTGTGAAGAGATGCTGTGGGAAGGAGGTGCTTTGGTGCATATCAGGCCAGAGAAGGCTCTTGTTCCTGTGGTCATGGACAGGATTTGAGCTTAAACTCCAGATTTAGCACTCTGCTCTCATCCTCTGTATGGCTGTTTGGAACTTGAGCAAGTGGCCATGTGGGCAGAAAGCAAAGGGGGCCACGGGACTTACAGCTCCCCTTGGGATCTGCTTCTAGAATGCAGACCATCCCAGGACAGGCTTCTGGTAGAAAAAATTACTCTGGTATTCATGGCAGCACTCTTGAAAATGTCTTCCATATATAATCAGGCAGCCCGTCTGATATTCATCTGAGAACAGCTGAAATATTAGAAATTTCAGAATAAGAAACACTTTACAAGTTCACTCAACTCTGAAAAAACCCCGGAGCCCTCTGTGCTGAAGCTTCTTACTCTTGTTTTTAGCTTTAAAATCCATGTTTTTGGAGAGTTTCACTTAATTCAATATGGATGAACTGGACAGAGGAGTAAAAACCACTTGTGGTTTTCCTTGGATGTTTCCAGTGAGGTTATTTTTGATGGATAGCTGCTGCAGCTTTGTTCAGCAGCTGTGTGTGAGCCTGGCCCCATGGCTGCCCTCCTTGGCAGCCCCACACAGTGTAGTTCCTTAGTTTAAATATATTGATATAGAGGCTGCTAAATGTCTGATGTTGGCTTTGCCTGTGAAATACATCCTCCTTTCTCTGCACCAACATTCAGCTTCCGCCCTAGCCTGGATATGTGGGATATGGCCAATATTTACATGCAAACATATGCCTGAACTGCAGCTAAGGCTGGTGACCAAAGCCCAGGACCTCCTTCCTTTACCCAGGGACAAGAGTCCACCCATCTATCTGTGTCCCCAGCTCTTAGCTCTTTCAAATTAACATGACTGGCTTGATGCTGCCAGGATATGGATGAAAATCAGGCAGGATCAAATACTGGATGTGCTTCCAGGTGAGCTGGAGCTTTCCTTTAACTCTGCAGGGTGAGCAGTGCTCAGTGAACGTCTAGGGCCATCCTAGTTGGAGGTTAAAGTAATTACTATGGAAGGAGCCAGGACTACTGGCTCTCAAGGTTGGATGGGGCTTGGAGCAACCTGGTTTAGTGAAGGTGTCCCTGCCCATGGTAGAGAGGTTGGAGTTAGATGTCTATAAAGTCCCTTCCAACCCAAACCATCCATGATCCTATGAAAAGCACAGGTCTGGATCTGCTGAATCACTGGATCTCTGTTGAGTTTGATGGAGGATAGAGGGGTCCAGTGGGTTAGAGGGAGCCTGGCTTGGCTTTCTGCTGTCAAAAGAAAGGAGAGTTTTATATGTGTGGCTGATAGCAGTCCCAGTCCTGCAATGAGGTCCAGGAGGGTTTGATCCCTGGGCCTGTGCAAAGGCTCCTCCATGGTAGGATCACTCTCAACAGGGGACACAGAATTTTCCTGTCACCAGTTTGGCAGGGCACAGCTGCTCACACTGATTTCAGCAGCATCTACAAATACTCGTCATACCAGAAATCCGTGTGAGTTCAGGTGCTTTGTTTTGGGCTCCCTCCTTTGAAAACTCGGCTCATCCTTCTGTCTGTCTGCACCAGAGAGACAAGAGCCCTGCATATCTAATCCAGCAATGGCCTCGGGGCACCCCTTTCCCCGACTGGCCCCCAGCAGCTCGCAGTGCCACAGCTGGACAGCTGCACAGCAGTCTGCAGGAAATTTGGGCGAATAGATGGCTTTTAGGACCCTGGGAACTCCGCCAAGGCTCAGGTAGGTCTGCCTCATTCGTCAGCCGGGATTCATTCACTCCCAGGGATGTGTGTGTGTGTGTGTGTGTGTGTGTGTGTGTGTGTGTGTGTGTGTGTGTGTGCCGAGCGCTTTTCCTTCCCCGCCGCTGGCTGCGAGCCTTCCAAGCAATGGGACTGACGCTGTTCTCCGGGCAATGAGGAGAGCTGGGCAAGGGCAGGAACCGCTTTCCTTTCCTCTGGAAGAAAACAAGCCGTGAGGACAGCTAAGGATGTGCTGCCCAGATGTGTTTCCCACCTCCACCTTCCTCCTAGGACTCATGTGCTTGACAGCTTTCAGCAACTTTGCCAAGACTTCTGCAGACTTCTCAGGTAGGGAGAAGCGCCGATCCTTCCGTGTGCTGCTCATGCACGGAGCTCTTATTCCAGTGCTCCGGAGCAGCTCAGGGAAAGGGGATGTGAGCAGATCTGGGATAGTTATGTGGGAAGTAATTTTAATCTTTTAAAAATAGACCAAAAATGAAAAGTGTCTTCTGTAAGAGGAGTTTGAGTTTCTTAAAAGCCTTTCTCAATAATTAGCAAACCTATTTCAAAAGAGTCAGTCTAACTTTGGCAACAAGAAAATCAATAGTGTTAACTTCTGTAAGTTTGTAGCAGGAATGGTATTAACCTGTATAAATTTTTAGCAGATTTTGTGCTGTGTTTCTCATAGGAGTGAAAAGAGGTGGACTAGGAGGCTGGGACAGTTTAGTATGTAAATTAAAGCTAACATAGCAAGTCTAAATTATTTTGTAGTGGGCCAGATTCCCTCCTCTAAACATACAGGTCCTGATTGTTGCAAAAACCCCCTGACCTGAGATAAAGGAGGTATATGCACAGAACAAATTACATTCTGTGTTTTCATAAACTGAAAGAAGTGTCTCATTTATTAATATTTTCTGAATCTAAAAATCTCTTTTTTATTAATATTTTCTGAATCTAAAAATGTTGATAGCATTTATTTTGAGTTGTACATGGCAGGTACAATACCTAGCACTTTCAAAGTCTGGAATTCCATGTAAGTTTTATAACTCTATAGCTGCATTAGTTGCTTTAAAAGTAAGTTTCTCTTTCTGTTCTTTGTGGATATGCATGTGGATCTGAGAAAACATAACAGATTTCATTTTACAACTCAGCAGGGCTGATAAGTTTGCTTGGGAGTGCCCAGTGAGGGCCACTTTTCTTTTAGGATGTTTGTTCTAATTTTGGGTCTTAGTGTGAAGAACTAGCCTGGCATACTCTTTAGGGGTGTTTTGCAAAACTCTTGTAGTGGATAAGAGCTGCCAATTATAGTTGTCTGATGAAAAAGTGTCATTTGCAAGGGTTGAACCTCACTGGACTTGGGTTTCAACATATCCCAGCACTGCTGCTCGCTGCCTGGGAGTGCATGTGTCTGTGTGCTGTGAGAAATTTGTGTTAGAAAGGAGGAGCTTGTGGTGGAGGGTGGGGGAAAGAATATGTACGGTGCTGGAAGTCTTAATGTGAATTGAAGGGGGCTGGCTTGCCTGTGATTCAGTCTCTTTTGGGGGCACATCAGTCCTGGGGGCTTCCATTCAAGGCAGATCTGCCTCTGAATGGAAAGGACTGAGGCATTTCCTTGTTTCTGGTGTGCTTTTATCCTTTTCTTGGCACTGAGCTTTCTCTGTGCTCCTGCTTGCAAGCAAGTTGATGCAGAAGGGGTGCATAGAGCAGGCATGATGGGAGCAAAAGCTGCAATGGGGAAAGAAGTTGTTTTTCTGAAATGTAGATAAAGTTTTCCCAGCCAGACCAAATTGCCAAGCGTTAAAATGTGTACAGGTGTCCCAGGGCAAAGGTGCTTTACATTGTGTTTGTACAACATAGCTGGAGCAGTGGAAGGAAATTTGATAGGCTTCAGTGGTGCTGGCAGGGGGACCAGATGCTATTCTTTTAAAAAATGGATAAGAATGTTGCTGATAACAAATGTTTTCTGTAGCATCCAACTGAACTGTCATACTTTGGGAGAAGAAAGGTGGCTTGTATCCCTGCATATGTGTATGGCAAGACTGTACTCTGAAGCAGGGTCTGTAATCCCAGCAGCACAAGGTCTCATGAGTTTCCATAACTGTTGAAACCTTCTGCCAGGTCCAACCTATGTTTTCTGATAGCAGGCTTGGCAAATGTCCCCAGTCTTGTTGGACTGACTGTACCTTGCAGGACAGGAAACATGATTTGCTGCAGGAAAGGGCTGTACCCAGAGTGTAGCAGCTCAAATACAGTTTTGTAAACTCAAGAGCTGAGTACCCACAAGATGATAGGGGGTAGGAAAAGGTACAGTATTTCCCAAATCACACCTTATGCTTTCCCAGCACATACTGCACTGACCCCATTCACCTCTCTCCAATGCATGAGGGTTTGCACCATGTGCCTCTCTGAAGGAGCAGCGGCCCAGGTAACTCTTCCTACCTGATGGAGCATCTTGTTTGTCACTGTTATCCCTATAAGTGAATTGTCAGCTGGCTTAAGAAAGGGAAGGGGGGCAACTTTATAACATTATTCAACTGTAATTGTTTCTGGCCTGTTATACACTTTTCTATACTTCAGCATGTTCTGAATTCTTCTCTGGCATGACTGGAGTTGAGCAGGTGAACATCTTTGGGGACAACTTACAGCTTTACTGTATGCTATCTCACCTAGAGGTGGTGCATCCAGAATATAATTTGTCTGCACCCCAGGGAGATGAGTGGATTTCTACTGGGTATTACTGCTGAGGAATGTAAGGCTTGCTGTGGTCCCACAGAGTTTTCTGCAGCAGTTGGTGCTGCAGGGAGATGACACAACTCTTTGGGATGTAAAGACTTTTCCAGCTTGCAAATTAATAGCAGTGCAGTTCAGAGACAGCAGCTGATGCTCTTTGGGGAAGAATGGGGGTTTAAAACACAGTCCTGTAGACCTTGTGTAGCAGCAAAACCTCTCTGGCTTCTCAGCTTAGTTTGCCTCAGCATTACCAAGGAGGTGCTGCTGTTTGTAATAGGTCATGGCTGTGTGGTGGTGGCCAGAGTGTGTGGATCCAGCCCTGGAAGGAAAGCTCAGGGACAGCCACTCTTGAGCTCTAAGCAGATCATAAGTCAGAATCACTGACCTGACTCTCATGCTGCAACTCTGCAATAGGGCTGGATAAAAGACTTACCAAGAACTTCAAACCCAACCACATCCCACTGCTCCCAGTACTCTCCACTGGCTGCGTCTTCAAGGGATGTGTCTCTCAGCTGCAGGAAAATTTCATTTTTATGTAGGTCATGGCAAGCACACCCTGAGAAGGTGCCCAGAGATGTGGTTAACTGAGTCTCAGGTCTCACAAGAGAGCAGGGCTGGTGGGGATTTCTAACCCCTGAGCACACAGTCTCACACTGGGGCTCCATCCCTCCTGTTTGAACAGTTCAAATGCCACAATGTGAACATGAGCAGTGTGTGTCCTGCTGGGGACTGGTGCAATCTGAGATGTAAGAATTCAAATTCCTTTTAAGTGAAGTATTTGAACTATGTGAAGAGTTTTGAAGTTTTCTTTAATAGTTCTTTAAACATTGATGTTTGTAGTGGGATGTGGGGGGTAGGAAGCAGATCCTGAGGGAGAAAGTGGATTTATCAGGCACTTTGCAGCCACTTCTTAAGAAGACCTGGACTTTTTCTCTGTGGCTGCTTGTAGGATGAACTCTTGATTTAGTCTCATTCTGTTATCTGTTGTGCTCAGGACTGTATCAAGGCTTAGAACCTGCTGTCTTGATGTGTTAAAGGTTAAAGGTGATACTAATGTTAAAGGTGATACTTGAGGATTGTGATGAGGTGTGGGGTAAGAATCTGATCATTAGCTGTAAACCTCTAGTCCTAATCTCCGTAGCAGCAATGAATTCTCAAAAATCCTTGCTTTTTGATAAAACCTGACCTTTGTTTTAGGCCCTTTCTAATTTTAGTCAAGAGTCCAAGACACAGCAATGCCCTTGTTCCTGCTAGGGGAAGCTATGCCATAGCTCCTCTGCATGGGCTCTGGGAGGCAGTGATCCATGTGCAGTTCAAGGCCTTGCTCCTCAGAGGGACAGGGTTAATGAAAATGGGGCCAAAAGTAGGCTTTGGTGCTAACTTTAAATGCAGGCATTGAAAGCTTAGTCAACAGCTATTATATCCTGTGTGCTCTCTCTGCTCAGCCATGATGTGCCTCTCTCTGAAGCTAAGTCATGCAAACACATGTGGAATTTCACTCTGCTCACTGCTGCCGAGGTGACCATTTAACTTCCAGCTGCATACCTGCAAGGAATTAAACTTGTTGTTATCATGCTGTGCTCTGATTCTCCAAAAGGATTTTCCCATTTGTGAGCTGATTTCAGGCATGTTGGGCAGAAGGGTGGTGGCATCAGATCTATGGGATTGCCACGAGTTTCATGTTAATGGAGATAGGTCCCTCCACTACTGTTGGAAAGGGTTGTGAACTCAAGAATTTACAGACATCAGAGAATCCACTGCAAGGACCTAAGCCAAAAATGTAGGTTTCTAGGCATGGAAACAGCTGGGCTGGGAGCTCGTGCCTTTTCTGACACAGGAGAACTCAGCTGAAAGAAAACCCAGCCCTGGTAGTGTTGCTCCCCATGGGCCTGCTTTAATGTTTATGTTCTTTGCATTAGATTTTGGCACAAGCTGGATGCGAGAAGCACTTTGCTTAAGGGAGCTGATCTGGCATTGAGCCAGATGAATACTGGTAACTCCCATTCACACCCTGCAGGTGAGCCATGGGTAGCTTTTGGAACCTCTCCCTGGAGGCCTGTCTTGGTTTTGAAAGCATAAAGATTTTTGTTGTTGCTGTTATTACTGTTGGTGGTGATTGGTTGTGTGGTTTTTTTTTTTTTTTTTTTTTTTTTTTTTCCCCAAGAATATCAGGTTTCAAGTGAAAGCTGCTTTTGCCACCTCCCTGCTAATTGGCTCAGTGTGTTTGTTTGAGTGATGAGGGCTGGAGTTGGGGAGGGAAAAGCACTTCTCCCTGATTGCATTTAATCAGTCCATAATAAAGGCAATTTGTTTGACAACTCCATTCACCAAATTATCACCAAAATATCCATGCTAACAGCTTCTGAATGCCTAATAGCCCTGAAAGGGTCTGTGGTGTCAAGGGGCATCCAGGATTTCCACGTGTTGAAGGTTTCAGGCTGTAAAAGAGGGCATTTTCAAGAGAAAGGCAGATACACCATCACACTGAAAAAGAAATTGTAACTCAGTAATGAGGGTTGAGTTTTTGACCCCAGGGGCAAACAGATACGATTTAGACTTTCATTAAAGACTGGGCTACGTCCAGGCCACCTCCATACCTTGTCTTGGGGAAGGGCTCT